GTGTCTCTCTCATTCTCTCTCTCTCTCTCTCTCTCTCTCTCTCTCTCTCTCTCTCTCCCCCCTCCCCCCCCCCACACACACACACTCTAAAAAAAAAAAAAATCAATGGAAAAATAGCTTTGGGGGAGGATATTTTAAAATAATAATAATAAATAGAAAAGAAAAAAAAGAACTGCAAAGAAATCTTAAAGTCTTTGTAGGTTTATTTTTCATAGTGGTACATGTACAGCAATTCTGAAATTATGTTGTATATTTGAGCAAATGAGGAAATAGCTTGATCTTACTGTTGAAGAAGGAAAATAAAACTATAGTACAGGGGAAGACAAGGAAGAACTCTGGGGGTTTGGATTGGAATTAGAGTTATCAGCATAAACGTATGATTTAATAAGCATGTGTGTATGTGCATGTATCTTAGCTCTGTCAACTGAAAGGAGTCGGAAGCAGTGGCATCCCGGAAACGCTGAGCACGCTCACTGCCCAGATCTCGTTTCTAAATACTTTTGCTCACAAATGGGGCCCAGCCTCTTTAGAGAAATGGTGGGTCCCAGATGCAGGGAAAGGCAGTGCAAGATGACCTGGACCACCTTATGCAAAGAATAAAGGGGGTGCTCTGTAATGGAGGGGCATGCCACGGCGACACTGGAGCCAGCTTGAGGGGGTCCCCTGGCCAAACCTGAGACATCAGATTTGAGCACCAAATTAAATAAGGACAGCATGTAAGAGTTCATTCATGGGGGAGATGGGGAAAATCTATGAGTTCATAGTGATATTAACAAGATAACTACATATATACAAAGGCTAGGGAAATGCTTTTCCTTTCAGTAAAATGTAAAGTAATAAATAGAAAAAATAATGGTATGGCAAAATCACAGTGTGGAATAATCAGAATTAAACTCTATTCAGGGAAGAACCCTCGGTATATGAAGAACAGGCTATTTATATCATCTCAAATCTCTCCCCACACGTTACTCATTATTTACAAAAAGAAAATAGTAACTATACAGTGGAGAAATTGGACCCTAGCTTAACCACCTTATCAGAATTAACATTACCAGTAATGGAACAAAGAGCATTGTGGGCATAGCCTGGAAAGGACACATCCGTCGTGTGTTACAAAACTACATCCCCTTGCTCATAAGGAAAAGCAGACAACCCCCGTCTAAGAGACGTTCCATAAATACCGGCCTGAGTTCTTCCGCAATGCTGACGTCACAAACTGCCCATACTGAAGGAGACCAGGGAGGCGTGGGAACTAAACGCATACGTGATCCATCCTGGAATGGACTCTGTGCTGGAACATCGGGGGTCGGCTCATGAAATTGGACTGTGGATTAGTTAGTAGTTGTCTATTAATGTTGAGTTTCTAGGATTTGGTGTCTATACTACTGTGGTTAGGAAAAATAATATCCTTGTTCTTAGAAAATGAAATACACACTGAGGTACTAAGGGGTCAAGGGACATGATGTGTGCAACTTAGTCTCAAAGGGCTCAGAAAACTGTGACAATGTGTGTGTGTAGACAGAGAGGGCACCTGTGGCAAATAGCAGTGGCTAAGGCTGGATGAGAAGCCATCAGAGGTTTTTGCTCCTATCATGGAAAAATTTTTGTGAGTTTGAAATTATTTCAAATTAGAGTTTTTAAAAATCTATAAAAATTTAAGTTTTCAGTATTACAATAATAACACTTTCACATTTCCTTCCGCATACGATGCTTTCTTATGAAAGCAAACCAAGGTCAGCATTTCATAACTGGTCACACCCCCAGGGCATCATCTCCTCCATCCCTGCCCCAAAGTAAAACACCATTCAGACCCAAGTCACCCAGTCTCTGTGGCAAAGCTGTGTCCGGACTTTCTCTGGAGCCCAGGAGGGGCCCCTGGGCAGGGCTCCCACTGCCACCCTGGACGAGGCCACGACAAATGCTTCTGGAAGAAACCAGTTGACTGTGCCTGATGAATTGCTCCAGCCACCCCTTGCCCTGGCAGCTTCTCCGTTCAGACTGATACTTTCGGCAACTCTCTAAGATTGAGAGGTGGATTAATTCATCGTCCTATTTCACCGCCATTAGACAGTTTCTAGAAAAATGATATCCACATATGTTAAAAACAAGCTTCCATGTAGTTACAGCTTTTCACAGCAGAGCAAGGAAGAAATAAATGCTGTTTTAAACGGATATTCACAACATGTTAACCTCAGTGTTGTCATTCTGGGGGGATCAAGGAAAATGATTCATTAAAGAACATTAAGACTTCAATTCCACACAGTTTGTTATCACTTTTGACACTTTTTTTTTTTTAACAAAGTGACAAAACTGTCTCACCTTTAAATGCCTCATATCGTTAACGGCTGCTCTGTGAAGAATGGGAATTGAGGTTATCCACACATTAAGAAAATAAAACCCAATAACACAGCATTTGTAAGATATTTATGGTGACATTGAAAAGAATGCTAAGCCCTGGCTGATGTGGCTTAGTTGGTTGAGCTTTGTCCCATGCACCGAAAGATTGCAGGTTCGATTGCACATGCCCAGGTTGTGGGGTATGCAGGAGGCAGCTGATGGATGTTTCTCTCTCTCCCTTTCCCTCTTTCTCTAAAAATCAATAAAAACATTTAAAAACACAACAAAAAGTAAGCTGATGCTCTCAAATTCAGGTAAAAGGAAAATAGAGTTCTGATCTAGTACTGTTTACTTCATAGAACCTCAAATCCCATTCTTCACAGAGCAGCCGTTAACGAGGCATTTAAAGGTGAGATAGTTCTTAGTTTTGTCACTTTGTAAAAAAAAGTGTCAAAAGGTGATAACACCAGGCTGTGAAATTGAAGTCTTTAAGGTTCATTTTCCTTGATCCCCCCAGAATGATAACAGTGAGGTTAACATGTTATGAATATCCGTTTAAAACAGCATTTACTTCTTCCTTGCTCTGCTGTGAAAAGCTGTAACTATGTGAAAGCTTGTTTTTAACATATGCTTCCTTATCATTTGACTTTCTAAATTGTTTGTTAGGCTAGACATTATCTAAAATGATATTTGTTGGTAACATTAAGATAGCTCGAATTCGCAAAACATTTTTTATGCTTAATTTTTCAATTAAATGTGCTACATATTCTTTATTTAATATAGCATAATTTTAATACATTAAGAAATTTGGTAATTTTCTAAACCAAGAAAATATAAATGATTTTTTTTCTGATGTAAATAAGTACTTCAGGAATTTCAAGATATGTTTCGAAAACAAAGAAAAATATTCTAAGAAAGAATGTGCATCCCTTATTAAATCTAGTCATAGCCACAAAAATTTTTTGTCACTTTTTGTATTTTTGCTGTTGTTCAGTTTCTGGATTTTTAGTTCTTCACTGTCCAGTCCTACTGTTTTTCAGCAGACCCCAGCCCCTTTGCCTGCTCAGCACCCCTTGTAGATGCTATTCCAGCCCCTTTTAAGAATATGCCAAACTCAAGTGCCAAGCAATAAAAAATTTTTAATAATTAAATGTCATATTTCTATTATCTTGAAAATAAATATTTATGTGTATATATGTGTATACACATATGTTTATTTATTCTATTTTCCCCTCTTCTTGACTTTTTTCTTTTCAAAGAGGGAATTTTATATACCCATACTCAAAATTAACAGATAATGAAATTTTGTCATACTGGCTTTACTTTTTATTTTTTAATCAAAGTGGGGGGAAAACTTACCAAGTTGGTCTCTCTCAACTCCTCCCCAAGCTTAGAAAGTGACCTTTTAGTTTATGCGTAATGGGACACAGAGGTAAAACTGGACAAGGAAGTTAAACAAGATTAAACCAAAGCTGAGACTTCACAAAAGGAAGATACATGGGCTGTTACAAATGTTGACTTCCTCTCTTCCATTCACATCTGCTCTGCCTTTTGTAGCCAACAATTATCTACTATCTGCTTGTCACGGGCTAACCACTGGGCTATGTTTCTGAAATACAGAGATAAATAGCCTTTGGGTGGTACAGAGCCCAGTGCAGGGAGCCAGGCAAGGGGACAGTGTTCGTCAACTACATGGAAGTGCTCCCGTGCTGGAGGCATGTGTAAAGACGTGGCGTGCTAAAAAGTGCATCCAATTTGGGGTAGCACAGGTGGATGAGGGTGTAATGGAGGGTGACGAGGGGGACAGAGGCACCGCCTGGGGAGGGGGCAGGACAGGCTCCCCTGAAGCCCTATATGGTGT